TTCTGCCTCCTCTCCTCAGCATGGAAGAGCCTCTTGGATTGCCAGGGCCCACAGCTCAATAAAAACAGGGCATGGAACAGTGAAGGAGGTTGGTATTTCCCAGGAAGGGGCAAAGCCATAGAGAAGAAGTTAGATCCCCCCTGTGGAAGGAGGTGGGGTTTAAGCCAGCTCTGCCTGGGCACTCTGCTCCTCTGTGGCCTGATGGCTCTGAGCAGTTTTTGTGCTGTTTGGAGAACAGGAATGTCCTCTTCCCAGGGAACAGCAGCCCATGGATGTTTGAATGCAGGTTGGACCTGCAGAGGGAGGTGCAGCTGACCCCTGGAAGGCCACACTGAACAGTAAACCTGCATTGTTTCCTGCAGAAGGGTGGTGGCAGGAGGCTGGGGACCTCAGAGCCACCAGGAGAGGGTGGCCTGGGGACCCGGCAGTGGGAGGTGACTCTGGCAGGTTCTCCCTTGGCTCCTGTGCGCTGCTGTCTCCACCAAGTGGAGGCTCTGGCCATCACTGGTCCCAGTGTGGCCCCAGCAGTGCCCTGTAGGGATCTGGCAGCTGGGACAGGTCTCTGTGTGGGGACAGGGACATGGGCACTGCCCAGGTCACACTGGGGAGTCCTCCTGCCCCCAGCCCCCTGACACAGGACTGACACTGAACTTACCTGACACCCTGAAAGCCTCGAGTCCTTTTCTCTCTGTGCCCTCACCCAAACCCGTGAGACCTGCTTGGAGCCTTGGGAGCTGCAGAACTGAAAATTCACTCCTGGTGTTGCTCATCCCCTTTCTGAGCCTTCCCAGCAGTTGTGCCTCAGCTCCAGAAGAGTTGGGTCAGGAGTGGCAGAACCAGGCCTGGCCACAGTGGTGCTGAGCCTGATGTCTTCCCTCCCCCAGGCAGGATGTTCCCTGTCCCTCCCTGTGTCTCTTGCAGAATTTCTGGAGAACAAGCATGTTCCAGATCTCTTGCTGCTTTATCCTCATCTCCAAGTGGAGGTTCTTTGTGCTGCTCAGTATCAGGGGAGGTAAGAATTCAGCACAACACTGAGCAAGTGCAGCATCATGGGCTTGCAAGGGCTGAGGCAAGGACCAAAGGAGTGGGAATGAAATGAAGTGTGAAGCTTCCCTGGGTGACCTGCCCTGGCTCAGTGCATGTGTGGGTTGATGCTGTGTGTGGTGGAGGCTGTGATGACTCCTGTCTTCCAAGGGAAACCAGTTCTGCTGGGGCTATGCACGTCCCCTTTCCACCCTGCCTGAAGCTTTCCAGTGTCAGTGGCTTCCTTTTCCTTCCTGCTTTGCTCTGGAATCTTGGTACTCTTTCCCCAGCCTAACCAGGAGGCTTCAGACTCGACCTGCTGTGCCATGAGGATCATTCCTTGAGCCCAGCTCTCCCCTGGACCCTTGGGAACATTTATATCCCATTCAGCAACTGAGCTGACTGGTCCTGGTTCTGCTTTAGCCACAGAAGCACAACCTGGATTTCACAGGGACCATAAGAAAGTGATGCTTGGTCCTGCTGGGAGAGCTGAATTCCACCACTGCTGCCTCCTCCTCCTCTGCAAAGCTGTGCAGCCCCAGCTAAGGCACCAAGTGGCTTTTGGAGAGCTCAGCCCTGCTCCCAGGAGTGTCAGTGCTGCTGTTTTTATGGTTTCACTTGTGTTTGAGGGGAACAGCAGGCTCCTCTCATGGTTTGTGAGCCATGGAATCATGTAGAAGAAAGTTGCTGAAGTATTTGGGGCTGTGTCCTTCTGCACATCAGGTACCTGCTCAGAGTTAGAACATATGGGGCAATGAATTACTGTCAGTTCATATTTGCAGGGTTATGTCCCACCCAGGAGCAGACATTCCAGCTGGGAAGTTCCTTTCTTGGCAGAGCTGGATCCACAAAGTCTGCGTGTATGAGGGGAAAAGGTTCTGGGGGTCCATTGGTCTGGTCTGATAATTTATCTATTCCTCAGCTCCAGACCAAGTGTGGCCAGTGCACGTCTGTACTGAGCCCAGGGACCTGGGGCCAGCCAGACACACAGCTCTGGCTTTGAAAACTCCAAGGGATCTGTTCTCCCTGAGCACATCCTTTGGAAATGGCTGTTCCAGTGGAACACCATCTCTGCTAATGTTTTGTGCCTCATTTCAGCTGGTTCCAGCTTCCAGCAATGAGCTTGCACTCAACTCTTCCCTGCCAAGACAAGACAGTATTTTCTCCCCATGAAGATGATGATACACTGCAATCAAATCATCTTCTAGTCTTCCCTTTGGTGTGAGGAGCAGACTGGAGCAATTTGGTCTCACAGAGTCATAAAGTGTCATTTCCCAGTCTTGAACCATTTCAGTGCTGCATTTTGGAACCTCTTCAGCTTTTCTGATCACTTCTGAAACCTGAAGCTGCTCGCTGTGTCTGCAGCACATTGGGAGTGGCTTCACCACAGCTTCAGACAGGGAGAAAATGATCTCCTCCTTCCATCTCAGGCACCTGAACCAAAAATTTGGTCATTCCTTCATCTCAGAACGTGGCTCTCTGTGGTTGCAGTACCACGTGGGTGCATCCACAGTCCTGGACTTGTCTGACTGTGCTGCAGCCACTGGTCTTGGGCAGAGCCAGCTGTGAGAGAGGGATCCACTGTGGAGTGTCCTGTTCACAGCTTTGCTCTCCACCCCTCCACGGCTCCACCCATAATTTTTAGCTACAGTGGTGTTTAATTTAATTCCAGAGCATGAATAAATCTGTCCCACATCAACCATTCCAGGAATCCTGTGGAAATGCCTCTCTATTCAGGAGCAATGCACATGGAGAACAGCTTTGCCTTGCAGCATGGGGCCTGTTGCTGATTTGGTTTGTGTTTGAATGTGACCCATGCAAAGCTGGCATCATCAGAAAGTCATTGTATTCTTGCCCTTTTATAATCTCCTCAGAAGGCTCTAGCCTCAGTCTCACTGGTATCAGCTTCTAATCCCAGATCACTTGGCTCATGGCTGGATTTTCCTGTTGCTTTGCCCAGGACTGGCAGGTCCCTGGCTGTGCCATGGATAACTGAGCTCTCACTGCCTCTCCCACCTCCAGCCTCCCAAGGAACTGCCCTGGCTGCCTTTGATCTTCCTCCACAGCCCTCACTGAGGAAGGAAGCATTTTCCTATCTACCTTACTGTTGCCTTTATCAGTGTTTTGCATTTCACACCCTCTGGGTTTGATTGATCTGCAATCAATCCCACTCTTTGCTGATCCCTGAGTATTCTGTGCTCACTGCCTTCCCTTGGAAGGGTGCTGAGCCATGCCCTGGTGGCTGAGATGGATGGGCCTGTGGCACAGCCAATAATATTACCATAAAGCCTGTCTGGTTCTCAACCACATCTTCTCTGTCTCAATCCATCTTTCTCACTTGTAAGAGCCCTGTATGATTTTGGGAGCACGGCAGGGGGGAGTATGTGTGAGAAGGCAGGAAATGAGTGGGAAGGCAGGTCAAGGCTAATTCTCTCTGTTTGGGGCTATTAATTGTACATTTCATTCCATAATGAGAATGAAGGGATGAATAATAAAATCTCTGGCAATAGGATGTGCCTGACCCAGTTTGAAATAGTGACTCCATGTCTGTGTGGGAGGTTGGGCAGTAATTACTGGAGGATTGTTCTCTCTGTTCCTCTGCTCCCCTCATCCCTGTCCTCCCAGGAGCTCCACACTTTCACCTCCAGTTGCACCATCCTGGTTCCTGTGTGAGCTCCATAACCTGTGTCAGAAACCACTGCAGATGTTGGTTCTCTAACATTGTAATTCATACTTTGTCCTGACAAACTTTATGATGTTCCAAGCAACGGGATTTTTTTCTTTGCCACTGTTGCACAATCTAATGATCATCCATAAGTTCAACCTATTTTTCATTTTATTTTGTTACTTCTGCCTAAAAAATTTTCAAATACCTTTGGCTGTTCCCAATGTTTACATGACTCTAAATATGTCACAGTGGTTTCTGTTTTTGGGTAGTCTGAGCCATTATATATTTAGTTCTGATTTCTGCACAAACTGAACCAGCAATTATTTTATCTTTGTATTGCATGGTGGAGTGTATTAATAACCAGTATAAAAAATTGGGGGTCCATAATGAGTGCTGCTAAAGGAGCTCCACTGGCTTATTCCCACATCCTTGTCTGGTGGGCTCACACCCCCTTTGCCTTTTGCTACCACAGCACCTGTTGATGTTGTTTTACAGCTTTGAGGTGTCCAGTTTCCTTTTCTTAAAGAGTTTTGAATATTTGTTTAGGTTGTTTTCTCCCAGAATTCCCAGCTCCTCTTTCCCAGATGAAAACACATGCTATTTAACCTGGTCTGAGCACAGTGGAGCCCCTCTGCCTTTCCTCCTCTATTAGGCTCTCCCTGGCATCCCAAACAGTTGTATCTGTCCATAACGTGGTAGTCTCCCTAAATATCCTCATCCTCCAGATGATCCCCTTTGATCAGCCCTGTGTATGTTCAGTAAAGCCTCTAAATACCAGGGGATGTCAGGTTGCTTGAAGGGATAAAAGAGAGGATGTGATGGAGGGTGGAGATTGCTCCAAATTAAAAATGTCAGGGAATCATAGACTCGTTTAGGTTGGAAAAGATCTTGAAGATCATCAAGTCAAACTGAATTCAGCAGTGCCAGGTCCACCAGTGACCCATGTCCCCAAGTGCCACAGGAGATTATGGCTTTGTGTGTATGGACCAGTGTTGGCAAAACACTGCAGGCAGAAGTGCTGGAGCTGTGCCTGTGGCCTGCTGGCAACCAGGGCAAGTTCTGTGCTCTTCTTTAGGGATCCAGTGTGTTTATGAGCACTACTGTTGTTTGTGATGATTAAGGTTATTTTCATTATTTATCGCTTTTGTCCAGTTAAATTTTAATTACTTATCATGTATGGCAGACATACATTAATATACTTCTTTTAAATATCCTGCATAAACCAGAGTACCTTGAATTAGGTCCTGGTGATGACAAAAAGAGCACTTGGCATTGAGGATTCACATTGTCTCCTCTCTTTCCCCCTCAGGGAGTGTTTGAAGAGGAGCCCACAGAGCCCCAAAGCCGAGGGCTCCGACTCGGTGACATCTCAGTCCTCCCCCAGTGAAGAGGCTGGAATGATGACTGAGGTGAAAGTGAAGACAGAGGTACCAGATGACTACATTGAGGAGGTGATCTGGCAGGATGACACCAAAGATTCCAAGAAGAACATCAAGGACGGGCCGGGGGATGTGCCTGCGGAGATCTGCGTGGTCATCGGCGGCGTGCGCAACCAGCAGACGCTCGGTGAGGCACGGGCCACCATTCCCTCAGGGGCTCTGGGGACAGGGGGAGGCTCTGGACAGCTGTGCCTGGACACTCAGCTCTGCTGGAGGGCCCAGAGCTAGGGTGAACATCAGTCTTGGGGTTCTGCGTCAGGATTATTGACCTTCTGTGTCTGTTTGCATCTGGTTGCCCCTAAAGGCTCAGCCAAGATCTGAAAGAAAAAGCTCCTTATCTTCTTTTGGCATGTTCAGGGACTTGCCCATCAGTCACCTGCAGCACCTGGTGAGCCCAGGGCTGGGGGTGTGTTTGACACAGATGAGGAACTTGGAAAGGAAAGCCTGAGAACCTGATGACATGTTTTGAGGAAAGTTGCTCTGAGGAATGTGGATGCTTTCCGTAAATGAGTTGGAGCACAAGAGCAGGTTTTACAGGTTGCTGTTTGTTTGTTTTCCTGATCACTTCTCAGTTGTGGGAATACTTTTGACTCTGGGCTGGCTGTGGTGTGCCCTGTTCAAAACAGGGCTTCCTGTCCCTACCCTACCTCCTGCTGTGATGAGAAGAAGCTTTTTCTTTTTTCTGTGAACATCAAACTGTCCTCTCCTCCTGCTCCAGGGAAGGGGCTTCCTGTGGGAACCTGGCAAGGCACTGTTCTTGCACTGTCTCTGTTGTCCCTGGCCTGGAGCAGGTCCCTGCAGTGTCTCTGAGATCCAAAGACACTTGCTAATAAAAAGAAGAAAGAGCAATTGGACCAGGTTTCCTTTAAGGGACTCAGGAGAAAACTGATTTGAGCTGCCCGGCATTGCACTTGGGGTTTTGTTTGTCCTGCAGGAGGAGAGGAAAGAGGAATTGATGTTGGATTTTCTCCTGGGTTTTGTTGATCATTATCCATACTGCTGGAAGGAAACCCAGGAGATGTCCTTAGCTGGTGATTGTCTCAGAAGCATCGTTGTCCTTCCTGTCCTCCTTTTCCACCACAGGACAGCCACTAAGGACACCAGGGCAGGAGGTCAGTGCTGTCTGTGCAGGTCTAGGGAAAGCCTAGAAAGTCCAAAACTATTTCTGACATAAAGATTTTACAATTTGGAAGAAATACTCTGTGTATTTTCAGAGGTTTTGTGCCTCTGCAACTCTTGATCCTTACATGGGCAAAGCTTGATCCCTGCTGCCCTGGGAGGGAGAGGTGGAGCTATGACTGGCTATGACTGATGGGCAGCAATGGGAGCTTCTCCTCCAGCCACGGCCACCAGCCCTTGGTGAAAGCATCTGCAGCTTGGGTGTTTGTCCCACAGGACCCTCTCCTCCCCACAGCTCCTGGCTGGGCAGCAGCAGCTGCTCTGCAGTCGGTGTCCCCTGGCAATGCTGGTTTCCAGCTCAGCTTGGCTGTGTGGCTGTGCAGTGGGGAGGGGGCTTTTGCTCTTGGCTGACTTGGGTGGACTGGAGGGGAAACCAGTGAGGAGCTGCTGAGGGCACTGGGATTGTTCAGCTGCAGCAGAGCAGACTGAGGGCAGAGCTCAGCAGGGATTGCAGCTCCTTGCAAGGGACAGCTCTGGGACAGGGACAGGAGCCAGGGCACGGCTGGGGCCGGGCCAGGGCAGCTCAGGCTGGAGCTCAGGGCAAGGTTCTTCCCCCAGAGGGTGCTGGCACTGCCCAGGCTCCCCAGGGAATGGGCACGGCCCCGAGGCTGCCAGAGCTCCAGGAGCCTTTGGGCAGCGCTGCCAGGGATGCCCAGGCTGGGGTTGCTGGGACAGGGGCTGGGCAGGGACAGGGGCAGGGGCTGGGCTGGGGGATCCCTGTGGGTCCCTTCAGTTCAGGTTGTTCCATGTTTCTGTGATTCTGTGTTGTCCCTGTGGAGAGCATTGGGGACAGACTGGTGTGAAGGGACACTCAAAATGTATGGACACTGTGGGGAGAGGGACAGATTCACTGACCAGTCACAAGTGGTGGTTGAAAGCCGTATAAACTGGAGAGTTTCTGTCTGGAAGGGCATTTTCTAGTGGAACACACATTGTATTGGTCATTGTAAAGCCTGGGCTTCTTTAAAGGCAGTTTGGTCTGGAGGTGATGGGGTTGGTGCCAATTCCTTTATGAACAGAGCCCTGGAAGTGCCCCTGTCTGCCATTCACATGACCCTCGTTTTTGGGGAGGTGGCTCTGAGTACCTCCTGTCTGGCCATTGGGTCCTGTGCTGTGTGCACAGCCCGTGGTGCCCAGCTCCTTGTGTTTGCTGAGCTCTGCCACCTGGTCCCCTCTGTCCCTCATGGGAATCACACACAGGCACTGTGCCCATCTCTGCACACACCAGGGTACCTCACACCAGGAATGTGCCCCGTGTGCCACTGCTCCACTGGCCATTCCAGCTGCTCCACTGGCCATTCCAGCTCTTCACTGGCCATTCCAGCTCCTCACTGGCCATTCCAGCTGCTCCACTGGCCATTCCAGCTCTTCACTGGCCATTCCAGCTGCTCCACTGGCCATTCCAGCTGCTCCACTGGCCATTCCAGCTCTTCACTGGCCATTCCAGCTCCTCACTGGCCATTCCAGCTGCTCCACTGGCCATTCCAGCTCTTCACTGGCCATTCCAGCTCCTCACTGGCCATTCCAGCTCCTCACTGGCCATTCCAGCTGCTCCACTGGCCATTCCAGCTCTCCACTGGCCATTCCAGCTGCTCCACTGGCCACTCCAGCTCTTCACTGGCCATTCCAGCTCTTCACTGGCCACTCCAGCTCTTCACTGGCCATTCCAGCTCCTCACTGGCCATTCCAGCTGCTGCACTGGAGCAGCCCAGAAGTGTGACCTGCTGATGCTGCTGGTGCCTCCTGCCTCTGAAGCAAAGGCTTTGTGACTCTGCTGCTGCTCCCAGCACTTCCAGGAGCTTTCCTTGCCCTGGGAGCTGGGAGCCCTGGATCTGAATCCCCTCCTCCATGCAGACAGGGGAGGCTTTGGTAGGATTTTATTCACCATCATTGGGGCAGCTGAGACTGGAGGTGTTGAAAATGGTTGTTTTAATAGCAAATCCTGATGAAGTGGTGACTCAGGAGTGAATGAACCCCTCTCCTCTGTGTGGAATTGCCAACCCCCAGCCTGTCTCCCTTCAGGGGCTGCTGGGGACAGTTGGTTAAACAGGGGATGTGTCTGAGTTGGGACCATGGTGCTGAAGGGCACACGTGGCTCCAAGTGACAGTTTTCCTGCAGGGCTCAGCTTTGGGATGTGGCTGAAATGCACATTACCAGATTTATGTCTCTTTTCTGAGTCACACATCTGCTCTATTTATATTTTAGTTGTTACTTGGAGCAATTTATAAAAGGGATTCCCAGCTCAGTTGCTGCTACTCCCTTGCAGTGTTTACATCAAACCAGGCCTTGTGTTTTTAGCCTTCTGTTTGCCCCAGCTCCTGTCTCTCCTGGCACTCCAGACTCTGCCTCCATCCGTGTGGAGCATCCCAAACCCCGTGGGGGCTGGAAGGGGCTGCACTGGGTGGGATGGTTTGGGACAGTGGCCACAGTCCCCAGCCAAAGAGCTGTTGGTGGGTTTGGACCATTTTCCTTTCAGCTGCTTTTCCACAGAAGTCTTTCAGTCCTGTGGGGTCCCTCTCTGGCATCCCAAGCAGAGGAAGCCAATGGAGATGTTGGCTCTCAGCTGGCTCCTGTCAGCTGCAGCTGCTGTGGATCCCCTGCTCCCCCCTGCACCCCCCTGGACCCCCACAGTACCCCAGGTGTCCCAGCCCTGGGGTGGGGGCTCCTGCCCTGCATAGCTCAGGGGTGCCACATTTCCTGTTCTTTTCTTCTTTCTTCTGGCAAGATTCACATGCTGACCTCAGGCCAGGGGCACTTGAAGAGCCACAGCACATGGATACTTCTCAGGGCAGGGAAGTCAGGGCAGACAGGCACAGGAGTCCCATGGAGCTGTCTGGAGAGGAGAGGAAAAGCAAAGGGCACTTGTGTTGCAACTGGGGAGCAAGAGGGGGAGACTGTTTATCAGATGTGGATCATTTCCTCCTGTTGGGAATAGCATCAGATCAGTATTTGTGTCCTGGAAGACTGAGTTATCTGTGAGCTGATCAGGAGAAGTTTGACACAAGACTCCTTAAGCTCTCAATCTGCTCTCCCAATCTGGTGCTTTACAAGGAACATTTTGGAGAGGACTTTTCCAGTAATGCATTAAACCAGAAATGTTTCTGAGACAGAGTGAAGAGAGAATCCTTCTGCTCTGAGCCTCTCTGTCCACCTCCCATGCACACATTGGGTTCATGCCATGGTGCTGATATTTCACTTGCTGAGCTGCTCAGCATATGAAATTCAAGAGCACTTTGGATTCTCCCTGGTGAAGTAAAATAGTACTGCAGAAGCCTTAAGAAATTCTGTGAGACCTCTGACATCTTGTCAGGAAGCCACAGGGACAGATGGGTCTTGGAAATTTTTAATAGGCTTCAGCCATCATTATTCCTTGGAAATGCATCCACTTTAAGGGCTTTTTTCTGATTTCTTTTTGCACAATTTAGATGGAAAAGCAGTGGAACGTGACTCTTCCGTTGGATATACACGAAATCGATATTCAGGGACCTGGATTTTTGACCATGCATTGAGATACACGTCCGGTATGTGATGGAAGGGTGTGAAACTCTAACCAGGGCTCAGGGAGCAAAGGAAGCTCTGGAAGCAATGGGTGCATTGCCCAGATTCCAGCTGCAAGGCTCAGGAAAAGCCTGGCCCAATTGAGTGCACCAACTAACCCCAAACCTTCCCCACCTCCCCTCCTGCCGCCACCAGCTGGGACCTGCATGACACACCCTGAGTGACAAGGACCTCACTGCTGGTGTCCAAGGCCACCTGGGCATGTTCTCTGCAAGGCCTTAAGGCACAGTGAAGTCCTTCTTCCTCCTCTTAACCTTTCCTCCCCTCTAACAACACATTTTTGGTGGCAAGTCACCCCTCCTTTCTCTAACGTAAGGGCCTGTGGTGAGCTGAGCACACAGCTGTGGCTGCTGAGCTGTGTCTCTGCCTCAGGTCTGTAACACACCTCCCTCACACCCTCCCCAAGTCCCTGTGCTCCTGGGCCACTGCTCTACCACCTGTGGGCAGAGGGTGAGTGCAGGTGTCCCCCTCAAAGTTGACTCCAACCTTCCCTGGGTTCCACTTGAGACCTGCCAGTTCCAGGACACCTGCACAAAAGCCCTGGACTGGCACACGTGGTCCCTCAGCTCCTTCCTCAGCTCCTGCCCCTGGTGTCCAGCACAGCCCCTGCACGAGGGCTGCAGCCCCTGCTGAGGTTCACAGTGCAGAGGGAAGGCACTGCACAGTTACCTGCACAGCTGAGCTTCTTGGAGAACTGCACAGTGCATTTATGAGCCATAGACTGTCTCCAGAGGAAGTAGGAAATACAATAAAAAGGGGGCAGAAAATGCAGCCTACAGCCCCTCACTGTGTTTGACCTGTTTGCACCAACTCACAGAATCACAGAATGCTTTGGGCTGGAAGGGACCTGCCATGGCAGGGACACCTCCCACTGTCCCAGGTGCTCCCAGCCCTGTCCAGCCTGGCCTTGGGCACTGCCAGGGATCCAGGGGCAGCCCCAGCTGCTCTGGGCACCCTGTGCCAGGGCCTGCCCACCCTCACAGGGAACAATTCCTAATTCCCAATATCCCATCCATCCCTGCCCTCTGGCAGTGGGAGCCATTCCCTGTGTCCTGTCCCTCCATCCCTTGTCCCCAGTCCCTCTCCAGCTCTCCTGGAGCCCCTCAGGCCCTGGCAGGGGCTCTGAGAGCTTCAGCCCTGTGATTAACTCAGTGGCCTCCTCTGGAGCCATTCCAACTCTTCCCAGAGCTCCATGTGCAGCCAACACTGTGGGGATGTGGGTGGGCATCAGTCACATCCTGCTGTTGGTTCAGCTGAACCTCAGCTGTGCTCAGGGCTCCTGTTTGCAGGGCCCAGGGCATGGTGAGTGCTCTCATCTGCTGCTTTGGGGCTCCAGCTCCAAGAGTTTTCATAAGAGCATAGTGGAGGTTGGTGGTGAAAAGAATCAGTCCTTGAGCACGGGAGTGAGTGAGGGCTGGCAGACACTGCTGACAGCCCGGGTTTCACAGGCAGCCTGTGTGGAGTGACCACAGGTGGTGACTGTCCCACAGTCTATATAAAATACATATCTATATAAAATACAGTGAGCTATGATAATAAAAATGCTCTGGAGCAGATCAGATACAGCCAAGTGCCTGTGCTATCAGAATATGGGAGCATTTTTTCAGCTGGGTACTCTGGTGTATCGGACTGTGGCGAGTGGCCTCTTTCAGCATCAGTGACAAAGGAGCCTCCCCAGCTCAGGACACAGCCCCAGGTGGTGCTATCAGTGATGGGCAGGGAGTTCAGGGCTCTGACACTCTCAGGGGGGTGTTTTCTTCCCAAGTTGTAAGAATGGGACATGGGAAGGGGAAAAAGGACCAGGGGCATAGTGTGTTCAGACTGCAGCCTGGGTTTGTTCCTGGCTAGAGCTCACTTTGAGTAGCTCCAGGTGAGTATTGCTGTGAAATGCATTTGGGAATGTTTATCTGGGTGTGTATCAATGGTTTTGTTCTTGTTTGTGGCTCCTCCCTGAGTTTTGCTGTTTGGCATGGTCAGGAAAAGACTGTTTCAAGGTTGTGTGAGGAAAGGTGCATGGAAATGAAGTTCTGCATTCATACCAAATAATTCAGTCCTTTTTTTCTCCCACCTCCTCTTCAGTCAAGTGATGCTCTCACCCTCTCCAAAGAGCACCGAGGGGATCCCAGTTCCACAGCTCTGATGGACAGTTAAGAAATGCAGTGCATTCTGCAAATAAGAGCCTGAAAAGTGAATTTATAGATTGTGCAGCAAAGTCAAATAGGAAAAAAAGAGATTGAATCAACTCAAGTAACAAATCTAAGGAAATTTCTGTCTGCCTGTTCAATAACAAAAGAGTCTAAATTCATGGCATAACTTCATCATTACAAATGCTTCTCCCAGCTCTTTTCCTCTGGTTTCATTTCAAATGACTGTTTGCAGATGTGTGTTTTCTGGAATTAGAGACACAAATTGAGAAGAGGGACTACTGTGGTCATGTGCTTTTCCTTAAAAAGGGCAAAAGTTCTATTTGTATCTATTTGGTTTCCTCTGGGTGGATATTTACCAAATCTCTGTGGGTTTCTTGGGAAATTTGTACATTGTGCATTTCTTGAGAAATTTTGAAAACTCCAGGCCTCAAGATAACATATTGCCTTCTTTTTTCAGTTGAAAAGGATTTTTTCCCAGCTACTAGGAACTTACTGAAAAGTAATTCAAGGTTATTTCTGTCCATAGGAAACATTAGTCATTATTATAAAATTATAAGTCAGGCTATTTTGAGAGTGGCCCTTTCACGTTAGCAAAGTTAAAAAGATACACTGAAAATGTAAGTTTGGAATCTTAAATAAGGCTGACAGACAGAATAGTGTCTGGGATAGTGATTTCCTGCATTTATCTCCATGAACTGTCCAAAAATTACTTTGCTGTCAAGTGCACTCTTTTGCTCGCAGTTTATGGACCAGTGTGCAGGGAGGCTGTTTTCCCTGATCTCTCATGGTGATGTGTGCTTCTCTCTCTTGTTTTTCAGGGTCTTACGAGTGTGGAATATGTGGGAAGAAGTACAAGTATTACAACTGTTTCCAGACCCATGTGCGAGCACACAGAGGTATCTCAGTCCTGCTGCAATCTCGGGAATTCTGGGATAATGCAGATCCGGGGGATGGTCAGGCTGGAGCTCAGGGCAAGGCTCTTCCCCCAGAGGGTGCTGGCACTGCCCAGGCTCCCCAGGGAATGGGCACGGCCCCGAGGCTGCCAGAGCTCCAGTAGCCTTTGGGCAGCGCTGCCAGGGATGCCCAGGCTGGGGTTGCTGGGACAGGGGCTGGGCAGGGACAGGGGCTGGACACCTGGATGATCCTGGAGGGTTCCCTCCAGGAGATTCTGTGATTTTAGGTCTATTTTCAAGAAGGTCTTGAAGGTTGCTTCTGTTGCTTCCCTGGTCACCAGTAATTCTCTGGGCTGTCCCCCTGAGAGGGGCCCAGTGATAAACATTGGGGATGTCTCAGCTTTGTGGCTCTTAAGTTCAGCAATATTTCTTGCCAGGTCAGGAGCAGCTCCCTTGTTCAGGGCAGTATTTACTGCCCAGGGCTGTTGAGGACATCCCTGTGTGCAGGGGGAGCTCAGATCACAGAGTTTTGCTTGGCAGGTCCCCGTGCCAGCAGTGTGGTGGCATCTCCCTGAGGTGCTCTGCACTCCTGCCCAGCTGGGAGTTCCATCCACCCCTGAGAAGTCAGCCTGGGAGGATATAAATCAGATATGGGCATTGTGACTGTTGTATTTTTATGTTCAAATCAAAATGCTCCTTGAGCTGCCCCTGTGCCCCTGCTGTCAGCTGAGGTCACTTCCCAAGTGCACTGTGTGCCTGAAAGGTCTCGTGCTTGGTCAGGAGTGGCTTGATCTGGGTTTTCTGTAAGACTGAGCAATCCAATGTTGCTTAATTGCAGAAATGTGAAAGTTTGAGGTGGTTTATTCAATCAAAGTGTAGTTTGCAGGATTTGGAGCTCTGAAATACCAGAACAGCAGGGACTGCAAACCAGCTCCTCCTGAGCCTTTCTCTGGGTTTATCTCCTGTCCCTGAGGTGAGCACTGGTGTCACTGTGCCAGGCTGGCAGGAGCATCTGCTTTAGCTCCTCAGGTGTAACCAGTGGTTGAAAATCCAGGAATAATGAAGGCTAATATCCAGTTTTAAATGCTCAAACTCTCAAAAGTCAGCACGTGCACAGCTAAGAAGTGTTCATCCTTAACTGCTCAGAGTTTGTCACAGTCTCATAACACATCCTTAGTTGCATGGTTGCATATTCCTTGTGTGCTGTTTAATATCACAGATCTGCTTCTCTACTTCTGAATTGTTTTTCCGTGCTGGTATTTCTTTTCTAAATACCAACAAAATTCCTTAAAGTCCTTTAAATGTAGCTTCGAGTAGCTTCACTCTGCAGCTTAAGGAAAAAAATCCTAAAATAACAGGGATATGCTTCACCATTACATCACAGCATTGCAACAATTTTGCAATAATAATTGTAGTATTTAAATGTGGGACAAGGATTGCTTTTATTTTACTTCTCTTCCCCAAGCACCATGGGATCTTTAATTCAGCTGGAATTTGAGGAGCTCTGTTAGTATGATGTCACCTCCTAGTGTGTGATCTAATTAATTTGTATTCATTTATATTTTGATAATAAAATTAAGCAATATATTAAATTATATGGATGCATCAACATAGACCTGTACATTTGATATCCATAGTTTTGACATGAACTCAGTGGAGACATGACTTTACCTTTTGCTTCCAAGGTCTTTGTCATGTGTAGTTGCAGAAGATGAAAATTTTCAAAATTCTGAATGTGGAAATTTATCATTAGTTCTCACATCAGTGATGGAGAAGCAGAATTTATATCTGTGATACATACTTAGAAAGTGTTGGTTTATGTTACTGTAAGTGGATTCATGTAGTAGTTACATTTAAAGTGCATTCAAATTGCTTTAAGACAATAAAAATACAAATGAGTTATTTATTCATCTACACTCTTCAGGAAGAAATGAAACTGCAAACATGATGCAGCTCTGGCAGCGGGATTCTCCCAGGGAGCTGAGGTACTGGGCAGAGTGTGCCTGGCTGCAGAGGAATAACCTGCAGTGAAAGGTTAAGGACGGGTAGGAAAAAAGAAGGAAGGATTTTTTTGGAGGGAAGCCCTGTGTGGTATTATCCAGTGTGAGTTGTGCAAGGACCGGACCAGGAATGGTGCTGGGATGGCAGAAGACTGCAGGAGTGAAGGGGATTTTTGTGAAAGATGCTTTTATTGCCCCAAGGCTTCACAGAGGAGAAGGGGTTGGTGCTGCCCCAGGGGACAAACAGGATAACATGGTGGGATGGCTGCACTGAGGGTGTAACCCTGCACGTTGCTGTTCTCCAGTGATCTCCAGTCTGTGTCTCAGATCCAGTGCCAGAGCACTGGCAGCCAGCTCTCCCAGGGCTGCTTTCCTCGAAGCACTGCAATGTGAGCTCCCTTGGCCCAGTCCATGCAGTTCTCAGCTGCCAGAAACTCCAGTCCTGAATCTTTCAGTCGTTTCTTTCTGGCTGGGCAGAAAGTGGGGACCCGGGCTGCAGTGGCAGAACCTGGATTCCCTTTTGGCAGGATGGTGCCAGCCATGGTTTTCCTAAGGGCTGGCCACCCATCAGTCACATAACATCTGCCTTTCCCAAAGCTGGACTGATCCTGGAAGACACCCCAGCTCAGCATCAGAGGAGCTAGAACAAACTGAGGCTCCTTTCTTCTCTTTAGGTTTTTTGCCCATTCCAGCAGCAAGAGCTGCTGTTTGTGATTTGCTGAAGGATATACCCCATCCCAGGCCTCTGCTCTCTCCTTGTCTGTGTGGCTCCTGTGTCACTAACGGGCCCTGGATGGTGCTGCAGGTGACAGAGCAGGAGACAGAAAAGGCTCAGGCCAAGAGAGAGCAGAGAAAGAGATCTGCTTTGGACCTCTGTGGCAGAACAAAACATTTGTGTCATCAGCCTGTCTGTCACCACTCAGTGACACAAAATGCAAGGTTTGGGGGCTTCTAGTTGTCCTTGCTTTGATCTGGGTTATTACTGAGCTGGTTTTTGTGTCCAGGGCCCACCTGAGCCTTATAGCAGGGGGAAGGTCTGTCACCCTCTCTGCTCATGCAGTCAATCTGTCCTTATCCACTACTTGTTTTGCCCTTTGCAGAACTTGCTGTCTTCTCATCCTTTGAGCTGTTCAGTTCCACATGAAGAGTTTCGCCCTGGCAACATCACATTTTTCTTTGCAATGAGCATTTTTTTGAGAAATTTTCTGGATTTTTTTATAGCTGCACCTGCCTCCACTCCAGCTCTCTGTAGCAGACAAGCTGCGTTGGAGGTGACCCGTGTTCTTGAGGCTGATTTCTTTTCTTGTCTGCCTTCAGGAGCAGGGGAGTTTATGTTATAAAACAGGGCATTTTCTTTGTTTATTGAGCCTTCCCTGTGGTGCTGAGCATTGGCTGGAGAATTTCAGGCAGCGACTGCTCTGGCAGTTTGCAGAAGGGCTGAGGCAGCTCTGCTTCAGGACGTGCTGCCTCGCAGGAACAAGTTCCCATTCTGCTTTCCCCCGAAAGCCAAGATCCAGGCACGGAAATCCCTGTCTAAGGGTTCTGCAAAGAACCAGAAACTTAGGTAAGAAATTTCCCTGCTATGTTTCATCGAGGAACAAAGGAAAAGGTTGTGTTCCTTCCCCTTTGCCTCCCCAAAACTCACAAATAAAATAAAGAAGAAACCCAACAAAAAAGTTATGTTGTGGAGCTGAAAGGCTCCTTTGTGAGCTGCTCTGCAGCCCTGCAGGATCCCGGCTCCTTCTCCTGCTGGAGTTCAGCTGGAGTGGAGGGGCTGCGCGTTCCCGGTGCCGATGGAAGGCTCTGTCCCAAATGTTACTGCTTCGCCTACACGCAACCCAGGGCTTAAAAATGTTTTGCTTACGGTGCTTTTATTTTAGCTGTGTGGGGTTTTTCAGGTCATTAAAAGGTTTGGATTGCCTTCAGGAGTTAGTCAGCTAGAAAGTTCTGCTTTGTACAGTTGGGTCGTGTTTAAGCAACATGAGCAGCAAAGCATCTGCATGTTTTGAGTCAGGAAAATTATTTCACTTTTAGATAACTCCAAAAAAAAAAAAAGGCTGAAATTGCTTTATTAGACTTTCAAACAGCAAATTTATAAACCTCTGGGCTGAGGCCAAGCAAGGGAGATTTGTACCCAAAGGAGAATTCTTCCAAAAGCAGAGAAAGAAAATAGCAAGGCTCGAGTTTAACCCTCGCAGGATATATCGCCTCTAACCCAAGAATTGGTGGAAGTTCTCTGTTTCCAGATAAGCTTTTCTGGGCTGACTGATGATTTTGCTGAAGTTGTTTTTCATTATTATTTATTTACATTATAAGTTGTTGCATTGCCTCCCTCCAAGCCCCTCAGCTCTCCGTGTCCTCCCCACAGGGCTGTGCCAGCTGAGGGCTGAGCTGCCCTCACCAGAACAGATCCTGGATGCTCTGAGCGGGGCTGGATTCTTCAGGCCAAATTTTGAGTTTCACCAGCTAAAAACTTCTCAAAGCTTTTCAAGTTTCAGATTAATGTTTTCCAAGAATGGGTTCTGCTCAATTTAAAAAATATGAAAAGGAAGATGACTCATTCAAATGGTGAATATGGAAAAATTCTTTTTTCCAAAGTGCACATTTTTTGGAGTCTGAGTTAAAGTGGTTCTGTCACTGAAAGGATTTTGAGGTAAGGAGTAGAAAACTAGTAGAGGAATAACCATCCCTGAGGAGAGATGGTGTATCTGAGCCAAGGAAAGTTGAGGTTCATTTGTTTATTTGTTACTGAGAATATCAGATTATTTTGGGGAGGTTTTTTGCCCTCTGCCCTGCATCCCAAGATCCATTTTCCCGTGCACATTTCCCAGTCTGCAGCAGATACTCAAATGAGATGCAGAAAGCTTCTTGGGACAGAGGAGTTAACTGGCCCATTTTCCAGCTTCCCTGCCCACCTCCCTGTTCTTATTGACTTTTGCAACTTTCTCAGAAATGTGTCTTTTGTTTCACAACTGGAATTACTTGGTCTGACCTCAAAGGTGATATAGAGTGGGCTGTAAGGGGATTTTTAGTTGGTAATTTTTAAATTCATTAATACTTTAGTCTATCTATGACTAAGAGTAACAACATTTCTTGACACAGTTCAGAAATGGCTGTTCCTCAAATTTTGTGTGTTGCCTGATTCTTGTTAAATTTGACTAAAGTACTTTTTAAAGTTATTTAAATAGTGCATATCTTTTATGATTTGTTCATGCTATTGCTTGTGAACACCAGGACAGCATTTTGCATAAATCTATTGTGCCATAGCTGCTTTTCCTTGAATGATGGGTGAGAATTCAAACAAGTAGCAGCTGTGGAAAAATCCTGGGCTTTGCTGTCGAGGTTCTCCACTATCACTGAGGGTTTCTGATCTGGCCCCTGAGTTTATGAAGTTGTGCCAAATTAATACCGTTGCCTAGAAGAATGACCTAATCAGGCAGGTTAATCAAGTAGAAATGTACAAATTCACAAACTCACAATAGTTTGTTTTTATTATTTTTAAGAAATAAGGTAATTAAATGCAAACAGTGCTCATTACTTAAGGTTGAAAATTTTAAATTCAAAAAGGCTGCGCCATTCTGCAGCTGTGGTTTCCAGTGCAGTGCAAGCATCATTCCAACAGACATATGGAATATTTTGCAAGGCAGTTACATTATTAGATAATGTGACATACAGTATATGTAATTTAGGATGAATATGAAACACTTCAAACTGGCTTAGAAATCCTAATTGTTTATGATACTTGACTTGTAACTTTGGGGTTTGTTTTCCAGCTCGCAGCTTTGCCTGTTGCATTCATTTAGGGCTTGAACATGATCTCTGCTATGTGCTTCTTGCAGTCCCACACACGACAGTGGAGGGAGCTTTCTCTCCCTTCTTTTCCCATCTGCCTTCAGCAATAGAATCTTCAGGATAGAATCACCCTGCCTTCAGGATAGAATCACCCTGGGGGAATTCTTGTAGCCCATCTCTCATGGAGGCTTTGCCATCACTACCTGTGGAGGGAGGCATGGTGGTGGAGCCGGCTGTGCCAAATCCCACGGGAGCAGAGCCGGGTGCACTGTCTGCCTTTCGCTTTCCTGGTTCGCAGCACTTTCCTGTTAAAAAATTGTGTCCAGAGGAGGCCATGGAGCTGCTCCAGGGGCTGGAGCCAGGCTGGGAGAGCTGGGGGTGCTCACCTGGACAGGAGAAGCTCCAGGGAGAGCTCAGAGCCCCTGCCAGGGCCTGAAGGGGCCCCAGGAGAGCTGGAGAGGGACTGGGGACAAGGGATGGAGGGACAGGACCCAGGGAATGGCTCCCAGTGCCAGAGGGCAGGGCTGGATGGGATATTGGGAATTAGGAATTGTTCCCTGTGAGGGTGGGCAGGCCCTGGCACAGGGTGCCCAGAGCAGCTGGGGCTGCTCCTGGATCCCTGGCAGTGTCCAAGGGCAGGCTGGACAGGGCTGGGAGCAGCCTGGGATAGTGGAAGGTGTCCCTGCCCATGGCAGGGGGTGGAACGAGATAGGCTTTAATGTCCCTTCCAGCCCCGACCATTATATGACCACGAGCCCTTGTTGGCCATGTCTGCCCTCGCAGTCCCGGTGAGCCCCTCAGGGCCCGCTCCGTCCCGTGAGGGGCCGGGCAGAGCGGCGGAGAGGAGAGCGAGGGAGCGAGCGGGGCGGCGGTGGGGGCCGGGCAGCGCGGCCGGCGGATCTAAGCGCTGCTTTTTCTCTTTGCAGACACCGAAGCTGCCTCAGGGGAAGGAGCCTCACAAGGCAGTAAGTACAGCGGGGCGCGAGGGGCCGGATGTGTCGGGCCGGGCCGAGCCGGGCCGGGCAGGGGTCCCGCTCCCCGAGGGCCCCGCGGGGCCGGGGCTGCGGCGGGGCCGTACCGCAGGCGGCCGGCAGGGGGCGGCCCCGCCGCGGAGATGGCGGCGGCGGGGCAGAGCGGGCGGGCACGGCGGGGCTGCGGACACCGCTCGGGGTCTCACGGCACGGCGGGGCCGCTCCTCACGGCCTGGGGGTCTGTCAGGCACGGGGACGCCCCTCACGGTCCAGCAGCTCAGACGTTGTCACTGTCCCGCCCGCGAGGGGGGCGCGGTGCCCCGGGAGCTGCCCGGTGAGCGCTGTGAGGGGACCATGAGCGGAGCTCCCCCTGCCTCCTTTGCCGGGGAGGGACAGGGCACCGCCAGCCTCTAGCGGCGTCCAGCCCGGTGTGGTTTTTAAACCCTAAACCTGCAGTTTGGGGTGTGTGCCCCAGCCCCGGGCAGGGAGAGCCAGAGCCGGCACAGGGCTGAGAGAGGGCCGGGGCAGAGGTGGCACCAGAGGGAGCTGGGGACACGCTCATGGCCGCTGTGAGGGGTGGCGGGAAGGCGGAGCCGGGCAGTTCCCGGTGATAAAACTGAGAGATAGTGGGCATGAAGTGGAGAGAAGAGAGGTTGAGGCTGTTTGGGTAAAGTCCCAAGTAACCAGGACTGAGCTTGGAGCAGACTCAGCTTTGAGCAGGAGGTCAGACCAGAGATCTCCCGAGGCCTCTGCCCACCTGGGTTTTGCTATGTGTTAGGTGAGAGCCATGATTCCCACTGGAAAGGTAAGTTTCCAACATTGGTGGTTGCAGACAGCAGCTTGGAAGCACCAAACTTACCCTGGGTGGGTATAGAAATGTTAGATAAATAGTAAAGAAAAATAACAAGTACAACCAGACTACCTTTTCTGAACTCCTTCTTCACTGTGTTCTGTGATAGGTGAACAATTGGCATTAGCATAGGGGGTCTTGGCTTTCTGTCTGCAAAAGGAAGCAGGACTGACTTCACTGCAGGTGGGGAATGGAGATCCTCAGCCCTGAGCTGAAACATCTCAGTAGCAAGCAGCCATCCCACATCAGTGTGTACACACAGTGTACTGCTCACAGGGGAGGCTGGGCTCTGCAGCTGAGCCTTTCCCTTGACTGAGTCCAGCTCTGTGCATGGAAACTCCTTCCCAGGCTCCTGTCACTCCTTTGGTGTCTCTCTTGCAGTCATTGCTCAGCTGCCTGTTGGTGTTTTACTTACTTTGAGGCTTTCCAGGCTCATCTCCTGGCTCCCTTGCTCTGAATTTTGCTGGCAGGCATGGCTATGTTCTGGGCTAGGCTGTGTGCATCCTGGGCTTGCTGTTTGAGTATTGGGTACTTTCGACAGAGCTTGGGAACCACCTTGTGCAAAGAGAGATTTGGTTTTTTTCTGTAAGTCAGCTTCTCCTCTTCCCACCTGTTGTGGGAACTTTTTTGGCTGGAAAAGATAGGGCAGAGTGAGGCATGAAGAGAGAAAAAGACATGAGGGCTCACACCTTTGCTGTGTGGGCAGACTCAGTGTTGTTGGAGCTATAGAAGGATTTCTGTGGATGTAAATGCCTCTTCTGTGGTGTCTGGGTCCTGGAGAGAGGGGGAGAAGAGAACATCATGGGCTGAAGTCTGGGAGAGAAAAGCAAGAAACAAAAAAGCTCCCTGCACCTGGCTCCCAAGGAGATGCTGTGGTGGCACTAGAGATGGAGCAGTAGGAGGGGCAGGAAATGCTTCCATCTTTGTGCAGGGTCCAGCCCCATCCCGTGGGCAGGAATTACTTTTTACCTGCCACACTCATGTCCCAAAATAGTCTCATCTAGCTGAAAGAGATGGAGGCAAAACCAAGCCAGCAGAATTGGGAGCTGGTGAATGGTGGGGTAGGGAAAGGGGAAGAAGGATGTACCATGGCCATGCCCTACTGGAGGGACAGCCTGGACATGTCCCCTGGCCTCCAGAGTGGATGTGAGGCTGCTGGGCCAATGCTGCTGTGCCTAAGTGCACATGGTTGTAATTTCCTGACAGAGCCATCTTCCTCTTCCCTCCTTGTGCTGCAGTGAAACAACTCAGCTCTCTTCTTTTCTCCCTGTGCCTTCCCCTCTGAGGCTGGGTTAAATCCCTGGCCTACCCTCATTGCTTTTGCATGTCTCTTCTCATTTTTCCACTCAATGCCTCTCTTGTTTCCTTGTCAGTTTGCTCCTCATTATATTTTAGGAATTTCTTATTTATCTTTCCTTCCCTGCTATTTTTGCTTTGCCCGCTGCTGCACTGTTTCTCTGTGACCCAGTCTGGCTGTTTACACCCTCTCTCTTACAGATGTCTTCATTGTTCCAATCTTCCTCTGCTATTTCTATCCCTTTGGGAACCTCTATATTGATGGGCTCTCCAGGCATGGTTTGCTGCCCTCTCCCAAAATTTGTCAGTATTTAAGGGGTACAGGAAGGTGTTGTTTTCTCTCTTGAGCTTCTCTGTGGGGCATGGATTACATCCATCCTGAACCTGTGAGTGAGGAGTCCCTTGCTCAGCAGTGGGGCCCTGGATTAGTTCACATAATAACTACATTATACAACATTACAACACACTGGTGATGTGTGTTCACATCACAAACTGCAGGGTTGGAAAAGCTGATCAGATTTTCTCCATGGTCACCTGCTGGAGCCAGCTGTTACTCACAGCCACCAGCGGTCACCCAAGAGGTGTTGGTGAAGGCAGCCTTGTGTGCCAGGTGACATCTCAGCTGCTGCCTGTGCAGAGCACCTGGCTGTGGTTCAGTTCCTGTGCTGTGCCCCCTGGGCTGCCCTGGAGCAGCCAGCTCTGTGCTGGGAAGCAAAGTCTGGGTGTGTGAGTGAGCCTGGGCTGCAGGAGGACGAGGGACTGACAGGGGGGTGAGGCTGTGCTGGAATGTGCCCTTGCCTTCAGCTCTCAGAAGAGGGGTTGTGATCAGAGGGGCTCCTGGGGAGGGCCCTTCCTGGCCTTTTTTCTTCCTGGGAGGAAGGGAGCTGTGGGGCCAGCTGGGACTCAGCTGAGAGCTGTTGTTTGTTCACTGCCTGCCTAAAGAGGAGACAGTGGTGTTTAGACTCTCCAGCTGGGAAAGCACTTTGAAGACTCACTTGAGGAAAAACTGTTGCATTTAGTTGGTTATTTTGAGTCTTTGGGGTTTATAGTCAATAGATGGTGTCTCTGGGACTCCCTTTATTCTTGAAGAGCTACAGCTCTGTGGTGGTGAGGAGGGGATGTGCTCACAGGGACACTGCTGCATGGCTTTGGGAGCTCCTTTTTGAGCCTTGGCTTATGGTCCAAGACCACAATTCCCACAAGAGAGAGAAGAAAACAATGCAACCCACAGTGCTAATGTGTTAAAGAGACTTGTCTGACTGCTACCAACTTTAACTGGCAGGGACAAGGAAGAGAAGAGGGTGATTTTGAAAAAAATTCTCAATTTAATATTTTTTCCTAGACAGGTGTGGCTAGTTTGACACCTGGTCACTGACTGTTCCCATAAAAGGGTCTGGAAGTCTTTTCTGAGATGCTCACATGCCTGTGTGGTTTGCTCCAGACTCTGGGAAGTCCTCAGGGAAGGTGTTTGGGCTGGGTCTGTGCTCTCATTCTCCATGGGAATTCCAGTCATGTTTAGGGGAGTTACAAACTGGCACAAACAGTCTCCCTCCTGCTGCTCACATTCCATAGGACATTCTTGGCACCAGGACAGGTCCTGAATAAACCCAGGGGCAGGAGTGGGGCCAGGGCCCTGTGGGGGCAGGGACAGGGCTGAGGCAGGGGCTCCTCTCACCTGATCAGGTGTTTGCACTGTGCCAGGCTGTGGGGTGGGTGTGTTCAGTGGATGGTGCCCAGTGGGTTGTGTTCAGTGACATGTCCCAGGCTGGGGACACAGCTACAGAATCACAGAATCACAGAAGGCAGGGCTGGATGGGATATTGGGAATTAGGAATTGTTCCCTGGCAGGGTGGGCAGGCCCTGGCACAGGGTGCCCAGAGCAGCTGGGGCTGCCCCTGGATCCCTGGCAGTGCCCAAGGGCAGGTTGGACACTGGGGCTTGGAGCAGCCTGGGACAGTGGAAGATGTCCTTGCCCATGGCAGGGGTGGAACAAGGTGATCTTTAGAGTCCCTTCCAACCCTAACCCATCTGGGACTCTGATTCTGTGGCTGGAACATTCAGCCCGTTGGAGTGTGGTACCATCCTTTTCTGTAGGAAAGAGGAGCTTACATGCAGGAGCATCTTCAGAGTAATCATAACTGGCTTGCAGAGCTTGAAGGGGAGCTGAGTTTTAGGGTTGTCTGTGAAGTTCACCTGAGTGTGGGTAGGCACTGGAGCTTTGCTCTGACTGCTCACTGCTGCTCTTTCTTACAGTGCTCTCCCTCTTCAGACCAGCCCAGGGCAGAACCCAGGTTGCTCTGGCAAATATTACTATGACACTTGCCTCATTTCACCTCAGCAAAGGGCTTTCAATACCAAAATACCAAATGTTAACAGATACAGCAGGTGGTGCTCCCAGTCCATGGTAGTTCTAAGCCCTTTGCCTGGCTGAGTCTGGGGTCACTTCCCAGAGGAGTTTGGAATTCTGTAAGCAGGCAGGAAACAGAAGGACAGAAAGAGAGTGACTTGCCAGAGGCAACAAACGGGTGAGTGTCAATGGAATAAAGTGCAGGTCCCTGGGCTTGCAGCCCAGTTAGTGCTGGGCACAGCGCTTGGATTGCAGTTCTGTGCCCTGGGAAAGAAACAGAAAATGCACAGGGAAGTGGGCAGGGAAGGACTGCTAAAAGCTGAAGGTATCTCAAAATACAGCTGATGTATTAAGTTCAGGTATGTCTGGTTAGTGGTCTGCAGCTTCATGAGTGCTCTTCTTCCAGGGGAGAATTCCGGAGTCTCGGGGAGCAGTGCTGATTGATATTCTAGGGGAGAGTCCTGCCATTCTTTAAATAAAGCACTGCTAAAAGTGGGAAGA